GAGCGGTTAGCATTCCAGCATTTGTTCCAGAGATGATCTTCATATATGCTGGGATGATTATTCTTATAGTTTCAGACAAGGATTTTGTTCTGGTCGTCTGATTTAAAGTCACATTTTCGCCGGGATCCATTTTTCTGGGAGACTTTTAGAAGATATCGCTAATCTATTGGCCTCAAGCCAAGAGGGCCGTGGTAGGTCTTGGTTCTGTTGATTAATATTTGTATACAGGTAAATTTCTGAACTGCTATAGTTGAGTATTTGGTTTATGTGAGTTGAATTTCTGTAAACTTTTGTCTCCGAGTTTCCCGTAAGTAATTCTCTTGACCAAAACATAGGCGAAAAGAATTGTGTTGTCTGATTCCTCTTCCTTCGTCAAACAGACTGTTAATTGATTTGTGAAAGCGTTCCAAATCATTCCTTCTTGATATGATGTGTTATTCACTTTAGGTATACAGATTTTCGCTGGCATTATTGGCAGAAAAATGATTTATAGTTTCTGTATCTAATTTGAACTTTATACTTTTGTCTTTACAAGAAGGTATTCGCTGTTGTCAAGTCCTGGTTGCATAGTTTTCTCTTGTCAGTTTTTGTTCTATTGGAGTGTAAGACTCTGAAGTTGAAGGATGGTATAATTTCACTGCTATCTAGTTAAATATCTTTGATTCTTTCTAGAAATTAAGTCAGCCATTTGATTGGATGGTCTTAGGATTCTGTATGACATTTCAGTTTCCTAAAGAGCTATTTAGACAGATTATACCTTGAAGTTCTTGAAAGTGAGACGATTGGTTGTAGAGGAATGTTTGACCTGCTGTTTTCTTAAAGCTATTAGTTGAATGTATGAGAAAAGTTCTAATAATTAAATGATTGATTTTGACTGGTATTGGTGTAAAGACTACCGTGAATAAGGTCAAAAAAGATCTTATATTATTTGATGCATGATAAGTGAATGTGATAAGTATTAGTAGAATTTGATTGGATGTATGAACTCGAAAGTGATTGGTTCACAAAACTTAATTTAAAAACAACTTATTGTATCCTATTTCAGCGCAGTATTTAGCAGTGACAGAAATACTCCAGTTTGAGCTAGCAACATTGTGTTACGAGTAAAAACAAAGCATACCTGATGAAGTAGATCATATTTACTAGCACGAAATCCTGAAAAAGGCAAATGTATACGTTAAAACTCGAAATCTACCGTCCAGATATGAGAATCAAGCAATATGTACTCCAGAAGACTAGCAAGAACTCTGAAGCCGTCCAAATAAGGACTCCCCCCCCCAAAAAATTCATAATTTAATGTCAAATAGCAAGAAAATATTACTTATATCCTTGGGTGAACACTGTGGCGTTGAAATTAGCGTCGTTCTTGGGATGACTTATAAAAACCAATCATTTCACTTAATGCCCCTGTTTTCCTCACATAGATCATATAAAATAAACTAACTTTACATAAATTATAATAGCTATGAAAAAGATTCAAATGTAGGAGACGTTTTGGAATATCGTATGGCAGTTAAAGGAACGTTGGTCATGTTTCCTGATCTCATTTAATTTCTTTCTCTTTAGATTAATTTAAATTTCCAGTTGGTTATTCTGGACCGAAATTTATTTATTTATTATAGCTTGATTCCATACAGTATTTTAGTACTAGTATGGAATTTTCAGCATGTGATATCCGCAGCCCGAATTTCGCAGACCGACCACAGATATTGGGTATGCGTCGGCTGGGAATCAAACCCCAGACCACGTGCATGATCGGTGAGCACCCCAATCGCTGTGCCACTGACGCATGGCAAAGAAAATGCGCGTTCCCTGTTAACATGTCGGCTCCTAGTACGGATGCTTCAACAATGTCTGAAAATTAACGGGATGCACACTTCGTACTATTTTGTCGTCACTTTTGAAACGATAAATGCGGGACTGGAGTCCCAGTCAGAAAGTCATCACTCAATGATAATTCAGTTACATCCAGCCAACAAGTCCCAAATAGGACGAAGTGAACATCCTGGACTCCACTGCTGGTCACCACCATCCAAAATAACATCATATTATTCCTAGATATCCTCGAAGCGTCAGTACTTCAGTTCAGTTTGTCAAAAACCATAATTGGTTGCAAAATATTTGTGATGAAAAGCTCACACTGAATAAGTTTCACTTTAAGGGATCAATCATCACTGATATGACGCGATAACCATAGGGCTAATAAAATAGGGGAACTAAGGCAGCCACATCTCCATTATCAAATGCAATCTGTAAACATAGTTGTTCTGTTGTAAGCCACAATCTTATCTGACCATTACTTTACTAAGAACAACAATTCATCTTCACAAAGACGTGAATTAAATAGAGTAGACGTATTATTCATAGATTAAGATATTTTACCTCCTCATGCAAATGAATAATACAATATAACATATAATAATAATACTATATTTCAAACAATATATGAACCTATATTACAGAAATTTTCAGCGTATTTAGTTACAAAATATTCTCTTTTCATACCGGATTTACTTATAGAGTAATAATCTGAAGCATACCAAGTGAGAAGAGAAACAAATCTGTAAGTTTTCACTTCATTTAGTTGGAAGCAAATTAAATACGCGCGCAAGTTTATGCAGCGGTTATATGATATAATTGCACCACTAAAACAATAAGAAATGCAGAAGAGTTTAAACATTTTGATGAAAGAAAATTTTGGCAGCCCAGTAATTTTAGCAGGTCACCATAATAACTTCGAATATGAATGTTATTATGTAACATCATTAAGTGAGAAGGCACTGGGAAATGAGCTAGACTGTTTGTATGAGGAGTGGAAATACTATGTGGTTACTCAAGCTCCTGTAAATACAATGTGATTCTCGCCGGTTGGAATCAAGTACACAAACCAATGAGTCATAGCTCTAAAAAAAAAACCTTCGGCAACCACAAAACCCTCACTCCACTAGGAATCTAAGGGAATTATAATGCTAATAATACTCATTTTCTTAACTAACAATTAAATCCGATAGTGACATAATCTTTGACCAGAAATTGCCAACCAACTAACTACGTCATGAAGAATACATATATATTCTTTTCAAGATGACTGATCAGAAATGATGTGTCATCATCGAGCTCTAGGTAAGGAGGAGGGGAAATCAATCGACTAGGCTGTGAAATTACATCGACTGAGATGGTTAGGACATGTGTTACGCATGTATGCCTAGTCATCGCCTTCTTCGACTGACGGACAATGTTAGCTGACATAGGGTCAGGCTGGAAAAGAGCTAGCGGCGGTCAAACCAAAACATGGCACCAGTCAGTGAAATCCACAACAGTTAGTTTAAGCCAGCCACGTAGGAAGGTGTAGACTTCCTGGTTGGGGTCCTCGGAACGGTAATCACCAATGGTTGGAAACAATTGATGATATGGTTCGATATCGTTCTCAATGGCTAGCACAGATGCATCCACTCCTTGTGACTTATGATTTCCAATGAAACTGTTTTGTTCTCCGTTATTACTATTCCTTTGTCTCACACCTCTGTTTACTGTCTATATAATGCATTTCTCTTACTTTCTTCTCTTGCTTTGTGTGCTACGTGGAGGGGGTGTGGCGACTTGAACTGCCGCACATATGTGCAAAGTTCTACGTCGAAACAGACAAACAGACAGACAGATGTGTCATCATCCATCCCACTGAAAATTATCTTTTAAAAAAAAGGTACAAACAACCAATATTTAACAAAATGTAATAACAATCGTATTTTAACACTTTGTTTTTTTAGCATAGATGAGTTGTATAGAGAAGATAGCAGTAGTAGTATATGCATATATATATCGCTATGATGCAAATGTCTGTTATCTATACATAGTAGAAGAATATATGCATAATGTAGTTAGTATATATGAAAAAGAAAAACTGTACGATTTAACTTTTAACAGGCAAAACAAAAAACAACGCCGCTAAAAAAACAAACAAACAGACAAACAATGTTAATAATAATAACCACTTACTGAGATTCATCATCAAATGGTAAACATACATTATTATTATGTAATAAATATGAAGGAGAAAATTGGATAAACTATTACAAATCATTATAATTAATTAATCATAGGTAGGTAGGCATGTAGGGTAGATAGGTAGATGGGTAGAATCATAAGCAGTAATAATGACAGTCAATAGTCAACAGTCAAATATTATTCAGAAATATATACCCAGTTGCAATACACATTAGCCATCGATATCGAAAGATAACAAATTAGAGAGATAGACCATTGTGACACAAAAAAAACGTGCATGTTGATGATGATGATGATGATGATAATGACGAGAAAAAAGAAATGAAGAATAATGACGAATAAAATAAATGTGTGCATGTATGCAAAAGAAGACAGCTCTTATAGAAAAAACAGGAGGGGTAGGCAGTGGGGGTTAGAGATCATAGTAACACGCTGTAAAAAAGAAAACTTAGTGTAGAGACACTGCTATACTAAAATTTTGTGGTATTCCTAATAAGAGTGACAATCAAAAAGGTTGTCAAATCATACCACCATAATAATAGTGATAGTAATAATAATAATAATGGGAATTAAACTGCTTACAAACAAAGTGAAAGAAAGAAAAATTGTCACTTTTAGAAATGTATGAAGATAGCTGGAGATAATAACAATAATATTTAGCATTTTGATAAATATATTATCATTAGTATTAACTACTATAATAGAATAAAAGTACATGATCACAGGAGGGCAGGCTATTGCACCTTTGCAGAAAAAAGATAACCAAACGCGAGAATTGTTAATAAACGAATACGATTTCCTTTTTTAGAAAAAAACAAACAACAAAAGTCAAACAGACTACATATGACAAGACTGATTGACTGACTGAAAAAGAAAAGAAAACGTCGACAAACAAAGAAAAAAAGAGGAGAGATCATACACATTTACATAACTATATACAGAAAGTGATAATTTGTTCATAATTAATATTATTTGCTTTGTTTTGATATCATATATCATAAATTATTAATATCTGATGTATCAACAGCTGTAACCTCTGTACCTAAAAGGTAGTGATTTATCTGTTCTGGTTTCAGTGTTATCTGTGAAGATTGTTGTGGATGTCCGTCGGATTCTGTTTTCACTTTAGCCAAATCAGGTCGAACAGCATTCAAACATTCCCAGCTTATGTCTAGCGAGGATCGACGTCCACGCATCCATGCCACATATTCTTCTAATTTATCACTGCCAATAGCAGTCGTTGCGTTATCTAGTGATCAAGAGAACAGATTTAAACATATAAGAGAGGAAAACTGTAAAAAAAAGTTATAAATTATGCTTAAAATTGTACCAAAAAGTGTTGAAACTGTTTGTACACATCGTCACAGTTAATACTGAAAGTCTAATTTTGATTTCAACTTCAAGATACACGTTTTATAAATGTCAGACTATCGCTCACAATCAATATAAAGCATTTCGATCAATCAGAAGAAAACAATTTTATGCATTTGTTTGGTTTCTTCATTACCACTTATGGTAACAAGTAGACTGCATGTTGTGATCTGAAAAATTCCCATTTTCAAAGGTAACTGTGGTGAAACTTTTCCCAGAAATGTATAAATTATGAATTAACTTGCCAATGGCGAATATCACTTATGGTGTTACCAGTTCGACCAAGTAGCTAGCCAGTAATCGAGTGGTTTGAACTGATTCCGCTCTGTGAGCTGAGTCGAATCGGGTACATTGGTTATGAGCTCAACCCCGAACAGCCATCCGGTGTTTAGATCACTTCGATCTGTCCAGAGAGCATTACTGGCAAAAAACTACTCATTCCAATAGATCAGTAATATGTTATAATGGCCTGTTTTAAAGTGGAATTTGTCTCCCAAACTCCGGAAACTGGTTGTAGGATAACTAGATTCATAATATGAGTGTAACAAAGTTGAATTCTTGATTGGACACTAGTCAGTAACTAGTGTAATATGTATAGTCCTATCTTCGGTGCACACTGAACTGTATTAGTCAGATATGCTTTGCTGATGAGTGCCAACTAGAAAGGAAATCTAGGTGCGTCGGTGGCACAGTGGTTAGGACTCTCGCCGACCATGCACATGGTCCGAGGTTCGATTCCCTGCCGACGCACACCAAATATCTTTGGTCGGCCTGCAAAATTTGGGCTACCGATATCCATGCTGAAAATTGCATGCTTGTACTGAAAATACGGTGTGGCATCAAGCTGTAATCAAAATAAAAAATAAAAAAATAAAATCATTAAGACGCATCTATGCAGACACTTAACAGTTGCTTCAAGTGGTGATACATCCTGTTCAGCTTCAACAAGCTCAACAAATGTTAATAGAACTAAATTACGAGAATCACTGGGATTAAGTATTTTTTATAGTCTGTCGTGGTATTAGGCATATATCCCGCTTCAGCTAGATTTGCCTGGAGCAGTATAACTGCAAGTTCCCATAAATGAGTGTAGAAATCAGCTTCGGATCAACGAGCTTCTATTGTAACAACAGAAGACAAGGGCCAGGCAACAGATCAGTTTTATTACGAAAACCAACAGCTATTTATATGTATTTTACGCACATTAATAGGCTTCTGCCCGCAGAAAGAAGGCGGTCTTCTGATTGGTTGTCTGCAAACAAACGCAGTCTTCTGCTTTCTCGTTTTCGATATTTCTCGGAAATGCGAGCCACTTGTCTGCGAATCATATTTGTCCACGTCTAGGTCAGCTGTGATCGGTTGTTGAATCAGCCTAGATTAATTTCTACCAATCAGCGTAGATCAATGTCTACCAATTGGCTAGCAGCTTGCTCTCACCACACTATAACATATTACATTCAAAGCATTACTAATATATCACTTTTTTATATGCACGACATACAAGTCCTCGAAATACTCTACTGAACAAACGCATCACATCTAGACACACCGAAATTAATTATATGATCATATTTACAATATATATAATGTAAAAGGGACCAAGACTTACCAAAATGGACAGAATTAACATGACGATAAAAATCCCAACGTCGGACAAAACCCTTATGACATACATTACATTCATAGGGCTTTTTGTCTAAAATGGATTTTTCAAAGAAAAAATAACATCAATATTACTAATTTTAAATCACAGAGGTAATAAGCATGATAATCAACTTTCAGAAATGAATTTATCTTTGAAACACCAATTTTTGTTATGGGAGGAGTGACTTAAGAACTTCAATACCTCGACTACATCGTGTCTAGCAATACACTGTCTTCTAAAATCTCTTCGCTTAAGTATTAACACGAAAATTGATAAAAGAAACATTGTTGACAGGGCTACTGCTATTGTATCTAAATAGGAACAGTCTAAGTAGTCGTTTACATTTGCCCACACAAGCGAATGTCTACGATCAGGTTAACAAAATCACTTTTACTTCTAAAAAGAAGGACTACAGAAATCCGTTGTGGATATGTGTCTTATTGGCTTAAGCATTCAGTTATCCCAGCGAGTAGACCGTGGGTTCGAGTCCCGCCCCACCTAATTCAACTTGGACTGCTGAGTTGTACTATCAACCCTTAGACGGTTAATGTGTCTATTAGGTTGGCACGCGAAAAAATTTGTCCAGGGTAATTGAGTTCAGGACTATAAAAACTACCATTATCCTGATTATACAAATTTGCAAGAATTAAACTTGTAAATATAAGCTAAGTAAAGGAAAACGTGAATGAAACAATTAATGATAAACTGCATTTCAGTTATACTTTGAATAAATCTGTACAGAAGAATGGATCACTGAAACTTCAAAAAGATCTGTTTAAAAATCGATATATTTCAGTTAAATATATACGCTTTTGAGTGATATACAGGTGAACTAAGGTGTTAAACGGCTACAAAAAATCAATGTGTTTTGTTGAATAATTTCTCTCATTTCAAAAAATTAAACAAAATCACTCATAGATTAATTTGTGTATTAGAAGGGTGCATCGGCGGTACAACTGTAGAGTGTTTGTCAACTACTCATGTCGTCCGGACACGATACTCGGTCGACACACGCCTAAACCTTGCTTAGTCGGTAGTGAACCTAGTAGAGTAGGAATGCTGGACATCGGGCTAGAGGTCACCCAGTAAAAACCACCATCGCTAATGAAACTTTAAAACTAAAGTTTGAAACCCTCTATGTGCCACTAGGAACGGCGAAGGAATGGAAAAGACGCATAAGATGAATAAATAAAGTCTTCACTTTATATATAAACTTAGGAAGAAGAGGTTATACACATTTTCAAAATACACATGTATACTAAGCTTGCTCACACTGAGAGTAACAGTACATCCTTTAAAGTTATCTTTGAGGCAAAATACAACCTGAGAAAAAAAAGTCGTGTCAATGTAAAAATCTCTAGAAAGTCCAGATGAAATATAAATCAAAATAAGTATTTACAAGTATAAATAATGACTGCTTTTCATGTTTTAACACGAATGATGTCCTCAAGTGTCTTCAATCTCTCAAACCTACCCAGTCCCTTGGTCCTGATGGAGTTCCTGCTGTTATCCTTAAGAAGTGTGCTGACATCTTATGTTACCCATTAACTGACATTTTCAATGAATCTTTTTCCAAAAGTTTTATTCCTGACTCATGGAAAAATATCAAGGTTGTTCCAGTGCCCAAATCAACAAGTGGACCTACTGTCAAGTTTAGACCCATTGCTATTACCTCACCTTTTTTAAAAGTTATGGAAAGACTTATTTTACTTAATCTTGAACCGTCTTTAAAGCCTTTTAACGACCCCAACCAGTTTGCCTATAAACATAGTAGGTGTACCCTAGATGCCGCTGTAGTTCTATATCATAATATAGTCTCTAGTTTAGATAGAGGAGCCAAATATGTTCGGTGTGCCTTCCTTGATTACACATCTGCATTTGACTCTGTACCTAGGTCTCTCTTGTTAAGTAAGCTTGCTGCAACACAGAGTGAGAGCTGGATAAATAAGTGGTTGTATTCCTACTTTTCTGAAAGGAAGCAGTACACTGTCTACTAGGGAAAGTCCTCCACTACCTCACTTACTTTAGCTGGTGTTCCTCAAGGTGCCGTTCTTTCTCCTTTTCTGTTTTCTTTTTTCTTACATGACTTGCCCCATTCTGATGTAGCCACTTTCGTCAAGTATGCTGATGACCTTTCTGTCTCCATGCCTGTCAACTCTCAGTCAGACTGTTCCATATTAAATAACTTTCTCTCGGAAATTAGTCAGTGGTCCTCTTCAAACGGTCTTAAGCTGAATCCGTCTAAATGTCAGGTAGTAAATTTTACTTTCAGACGAAAAAGTGACCTTCAACAACTAGCTAGCTCACATGGTCCCACTATCATTGAAGTC